CAAATCACCGGTTAAAATGTTTTTGTTTGTATTAAAACCGGTAAAATGAACATATATTATTTTGTTTCCTTAAGTGCGATAAATTAATGCTTGCCATGATGGTAAATCTATCAATATACTTTATCAAATGTCACAAGTTCAAATTCACTTTGCACTTGTTTTTGGTAAAAATTGTTTACAAAAATTACACAATATATTGACATTGGAAGGTTTCGCACCCGGGACTTCTAGTTTAATAGAGGAAACGTCAACCAACTGACTTAACAAGGATGGTTATAAACAAAATGAATTATCAGATATATAATATAAATATTTTATCTATTGTCAACAAAAAAAATTTCTTCTTGACGGATCCAGTTAGGACGGCTGCCCTAGCTCGCCACCCCCTAGATCCGCCCCTGCCTCTATCGGACAATGAAGTTATGGGATCCAAATACTACCTAGTTTGGTGTTATATAGCATTATTCACTATGATGAGACTATTCTGTTATTGTTTTTTTCTATTTATTTCATATTGTGAAATGAGTGTTCAACAAAATTCTGTCTGGTTAAAAGATGAAGTTGCTACAATCGCCATGTTTGGGCACCAATTTGTGATGTTTCATTGTTTAGGGCTTTATTAATGGTTTTTATTGAAATATAGATATTTACGTACCTTTTGAAGATTATCTCGAAAGTGGGATCAACAGTGATGCTTTAATTTATTGAAACTTGTTAGATATTTATTTGCTAATTAAGGGCGTGTTCGGTAGAGATTAAAATCGGATTAAAATTAAAAAAATTAAACGTTATTGTTGCCTTTTATTAGACGAGTGGGATTCAATAACGGCTATATTTTCAATTTTAATTGGATTTTAAGCCCTATCAAACATGCTCTAAGAATATTTCCGGTGATTAGTGAATTTCATTTTCAGTTTTTTTGTTTTTTTTTTGGGTGTTGGAAGTTTTTGCACTGAGAAAAGGAGGAGAAAAAGGGTTTTAGGTTTATGATAAAAATGTTTTGGGTTGGGATAGGGGCTTAACGAATCAAAGAAATAATATGTTAATTGACACAAATAACACTATTATTAGACGTGTTAAAAATGATTTTAGCACTTCTTTCACAAGTTTTACTTGTAGCAAAACTTTTTTGTGAGTTGCGTTTAAAAAGACGTACTACCCAAGGATGGAGCCAAAAATGGATCTAGCGAAGGGCAAAATTTAGCTACATATTAATTTAAACAACAGAGTACTGAAATAATGATTATCAATAGCAATTTTGTATGCGACTTGCAATTAAATTCAATCATCACTTCTAAGGATGGATGTGGACCTCAAAATATTGCACAATCTTGTTATCAATATATTAAAATATTTGTACATTGGGATAGTAAGTTTGAAATCTAAAACGATATCCTAGGGGTGTGCAATTATTATTTGCATTCTGATACTTAAATCAAAAGTCATAGTTTAACATGAGAGAAACAAAATGAACAGAATTTGAGTATGTGAATATTCCATACTTTCCTTCATATTTTGTGGGAGTGTTTAGTGGCAAAATCAAGATCAATGGTATTTTCATCGTTACATGCTCTTCTCTCCTTTCTAAAAAAGGATGAACCGCATCCTTGGCGGCTCCCCATCTGCCCCGCCCTGGGTCTTTTCTCTCCTTTCTAACACCTGTAGACGGGTGGTCGACCCATCACTTAACTCCCATGTTGGGTCTATTCTATAAGCACCCGTTACCCTAACCTCTCTATTTACTCTTTGAAAATGACAATCCTAGACGGGAAAGTGCTTCTTTTCTGAGTGATGCAACTTTTTTCTCAAGACTTTATCTTCAAAAACATTCCCATTAAAATGATAAAATCGTACACATTGATCTTTGCCTTATTGTGAAAGATCCTAGAGAGAGCGGCCATCCTATCAGATTGTGTCAGAGTAACTTTGACTCATTGTCTTTGATTGTCTTGAAATGATCTTTCCCCATATTTAAGATTTTCGATTATCATATCGATTGAGTTAGGTCGACATATATTGTACACATGAGTTACCTTGCATATTTCAAAACATAATTGTATGTATACAAATAGGAGCAATTGTGCAAACACATGATATATGTAAAAGATTAATTATGAATTCCTAATAAATAATATCAACCTCACCTTCGGAGTCATCTTCTTGATCAGCAGTTCAAGTTTGGACTTAGCCCGAAACCCTTCCTACGTGGAACCGAATGGATGTGTCGATCTGGGCTTGACTAGCAAGTTAGGGTACAAATGTCAACAAATGCTTCACTTGGCTGGAGAACTCCTTCCAGCGGACCTTGATTACTCACCACTTATGTTGTAACGCCTCTTTGTTTCATGCCAACTGCATGAGACTTGGCGTACGTTTCTCAAGTTATATGATGCATGATTTCATGTGGTAGGAGTGTCAGACTTTGTCAATTGCGCTGCCATTTTAGAACCCTTGATTTTGGGCCATTTATCTAAATTTAGTTTTTCTTCATTGAGGCTTGATGACCCAAATAGCATAGGGAAAAACCTAAGGGCTTCCCATTTTCTCTCCCTATTCTTAATTGATTATTCGGAGAGAGAAATGGTTATTTCTTCCCACTTTCATCCAAAACTTAGGCAACACAGATCACCAATGGTGGTTTCACCAACCTTGGGGTTATTGCGGCTTTCTATCAAGGTATTTTCGTTTCCTTTCCTACCTAGCTCTTTTTGTGTTTTCTTCTTTTATTATCTTGGGAAATGAGTTTCGACAATGAATCGTGGTGTTAGTCTTGGGATAGGGGCCATGAGGAGGAGGTTTTGTGTTCGAAACCTCTATCTATTAGGAGGTCTATCAGAGAAATTGCTGACTTATTTAATGAGGAAGAATCAAATCCTAGTTAGTACGAAGTAGAGAAAATGGTGTTAAAGAGTGAGTTGTTCACATTGCGTTGAGGACACCACAAGCGTACAGATAAGGTGATGTCTGCTCTAAGGTGATGGTGTAAAGATGTGGCCTCCAAGATGTCACACGAGTAGATAGCTTGGTGGCGTAGTAAATACTTGGTCCTTGAAGGAATTGACATCTTCCAACATCTACCTAACCCATTTATGGGATGCGTTTTCAAATTAAGTAGACATAGTTTTCACTTTTAAAAGTATTTCCAATTTTTTTTTTAAGAGTGTGATGCTCTTTATTTCAAACAGTCAAATCTTGAAATTAGGGTCCAACTGACATTCTTTCTTTCTTTCTTTTTTTTTTTTGCTTTTTACATTTTATTAGCATATCTAAGAGACCATTTAAAAGTGATATGCATATTATTTTAAAGAGCTAAAACCTTCAAATTAGTTCTGATTTTGGCTCCAATAGATTCTTTATTTTAATTCTATTTGTAAATTATCATGATTGCCTTTAATAAAATTACAATTTTCAATGTCAACTTCTTAAATTTATTCATATTACAGTAGAACATCTATAATTTAAAACTTGATAAATTAGTAAACTCGATTAAATAATATTTTTGGTTAGTCCCACTTGGGATAATGTTCTATATTAATAATTTCCTAAAATTATAAAATAATGTATTATAATAAAATTCATTTATACCTTCCCCACATAATATATTAATTAATAATTCCCCGAGATGCCACTTTTTCAGGTATGGTGTATTGTGATACTTTTGTTTATTTGAATAGAGTTTTTGCTTGGTTAAGCCCCAGTTTGTAGCTCATTCTTCACCTTCTAAATAGAAAAAATATGACCGTTTATACTATTAGTGGGCCCCACCATGTGAGAGAGAAGTAAAAAAAGGGCTAAAAAAGGTACACTAACTGTCCTTTTTTTCATTCTTTTCGACTGAAAATGTGCTCCAAACAGAGATGAGATTAATACATTGAACAATGCATAAACTATTTTTTGAACAAAATAAGTAAATTCATGAATTTTTCATGGTTAAACAAATATTACCCTTGTTTGATTCTCGTTAGTTTCAAAATAAATTTTTTTCTCTTTTATTTTTCAGCACGCATTTTCAATAAAATAATATTACAGACAAATTCAAATATTTTCCTTACCTTTTAACCACACATACTCCATTAAGCTACCATTTCAAAATGCATTCTTACCGAAAAATGATGCTCAAACAGGCCCATATAAAGTCGGTACTTCATAAAACGAGAATGTACAATACTTTAAACAAATCAAACGTCAATTTTTTTTATCACATTTTTCAAAAGAAAAATGCCACTCTACCAGACTTTGGTTCACATGTGGGTTACAGGCTCTCTCTCTCAATGAGGTGGGCCCCACGTGCAATAAAAAATGCCCAAAAAAATACCCACCCCCCCTGAATGTGAGTAATCTGGACCGACCCTGTGAGCCACCACCCTGATAATGTAGCAGGGCTCTTTTCAAAATTCACAACTTTATCTACTTTTAACATTTAACATTTGTTTTGAGAAAATTATAAATAATTTATAAACGATCAAATTTCATTTTTCATTACAAGTTTCAATGAATCAATAAATACGCTCATTTCTATCTATGGAAAATTAAATGATTTATAAATTCTTATTCTTAAGCACTTAAAACAATATTAGCTTCCGTTTGACCTCATTAAAATTATAATTCATATTTCTATCTTTTCTTATCAACTACACATTCTCCAATAAAATAATATTACGATCCCATTTGGTACATATAAATCCAATTTTTTTAACCACACATTTTTCAAAAATATACTTATTCAAAAATTATAATCTCAAATAATGACAAATAATGGGAGCCAAACGGCGCTTAAAACCAATCGTGAATATCGCCCACGTAAAAAATACGACAAATGAAATCCATGAAGAAGAGGAGGATTGAGCAGTACACGTCAACCACAGTCCACACTGATCATCTCTAATTCACGTGACTTTCAGCTCTTCCAGCGGTGACCAAAATCAGTCAATGTCAATTATTGAGTGAGTTCGAGTGAATTCACTTCGAGTTGTTGCAGAAGTAGTGAAGAAGAATTGCTAATGGCGGAGGTGATTGGTAAGAGAGTTCTTGACAAAGGGTGGTTGGCGGCACGATCTACTGAGGTCGAGTTCACCGGAATTCAGCTCACTACCACTAACCCTCCTTCTTCTGTTCCCACTTCTCCATGGATGGAGGCAGTCGTCCCCGGAACGTAACGTTTCTTAAACTCGCTCGCCCTTTAAATTCTTCCGTCGACAATTTTTTCTAAGAAATTAATTTCACTGAGAATGATGCTGTGCTAGCTAATTGTATCATAAGAACTTTTTTCTTACTTTTATCGAAATGATGAATGTATCGGAGCTACACAAGAAAGAACTTTAGTAGGGTTTGATTCTCTTGAATTTCTTTCACAATGTGTTTATCCCTATTTCATAATTTAAGAGTACGTACACTTACTGTGTGTATGGTGTAGTGGCGGACTCGAATTTTCATGTAGGGGGCAAAAGATGCTGGAGGGCCAAAATATATGTATGTATCATGTATATATTAATTTTTTTTATTTTTTAAGTCCAATATAATTTGAGAAAAAAAAAATGTTGTGAAGGGATTGCCACCCACGTGGGTCCGCCACTGGCATGGTGGATGAGTTAAAAATGCGGAGTTGGATTCATGGTGAAACTCTTTGCCATAAAACTAAGAGAGATTAAGAAGTATATTTATGGGATTGTTCAAGTGGCGCCAATTAAAATTGCGTGAGGACAGATTCTTGGGCATTATCAATGAAGCTTGCTGGATACAAAGTGCAATTGGTAAATTTTTAACAAAGAGGTTGACCTAAAAATAACAAGCGAGGTAATTGAACATCAGTCTTAAACGTCATGGTTAGTTTGGAGATGATCTTTTATGGAGTGAAGATTAAACAGATCTGATTTAACCGGTCCTAGACAATTATAAGATAAGGATATGCTGAGAATGAGTTACTTTACTTTGATTGTTAAGCACAAGAAAAGCTCATAATGTCAGGCTGTAAGCCAATTAATTATGATAAGATTACCTTGACAATTGAACTTGGCTGATTTTGATTGGCAGTGTTTTGGCAACCCTTGTAAGCAACAAGCTTGTGCCAGATCCTTTTTATGGGCTGGAAAATGAGGCAATTCTTGACATTGCTGATTCTGGGAGGGAATACTACACTTTCTGGTTTTTCACAACTTTTGAGTGCGAGCTGGTATGTAATACTCAGACCTTAACTAAATGCAGGAAGTTTGATTTAATATCATGTTGTATGACTAGTTTATTTATGTATAAATAGAATTGATGTTCATTGCCAGTTTTCAGTTTTAGTTAATTATTGTTCCACTTGGAGATTTTTAGTTATTCAAATATATTTCCATTTTCTTTTTCTTTCTTGATGATATTGAAAATTATTTTATATTGGAAGATACACGAGCTTAATTTTTTTAAATGTCATAATCTTGGCTGTTGTTTCTGACTAATTCTCTAACTATTCTTTTTCTTCGCTATATCATATTGATCCCAAGAAGTAATGATCAATTTTGGATTATTCCACCAAGATGATAAGGAAACACAACAACAAACTTGGCCTTATTCTCAATAAAGTTAGGGTTCACTACATAAAACATATTTCGCCACTCCATTCAGTTCATTGCTAGATTACTGGATGATCCAAGGCAACTAAATTATTAGCATCCAGGTCAAGATAAAATTGACTTTTTTCTTTGCTATATCATAGGGTCAATATGCGTATTCATATTAGCAGGGACTTAGTGGAGTTTCACTATAAAATAAAAAATTAAGTCAATCATCTTCTACAGGGAGAAAGTCAAGCGAGCAAGTTGGTCTGGACTCAGACATTAGTAATTGATAGTTGCCCCTCCCCATGATAAAGTTAATCTTCCTCTTTAAGAGTAGAATTTTTGAGGATTGGAAGTTGGAGATGGACATTATTGTCAAATTTTTGTTATCATAGACGAAGCAGAGAAAATATAACTTGTTACTGCTAGATTATTTTTGGAGGATGATGATACTTGTGTATAGGGAGCAGTTCATGCTATGTAAATTATTGGGTTCCTATAATGTGTGGTTAGTAAAATATAATCTACTCTTTAAGTAGCGCAGTATTTTACTACCATGATACACAGTACACCTTTTGATAAAAATAAATCACAAAAATATATATTTAAGATAGTAGTGAAACCAGTTGACAATAGAAATCTAGAGATGAGTATAATGGGGCACATAAGTGCACGACCAGAATTTTTTTGCACCAATCTGTATTCATGATGGCATAATGCTACTTAAAGAAAAGAAAACTAATGTCATCAGAGTATGAAAAATATGTGAATTGGAGGAATTGAGGGGTTAAGACTGTGAGTTGTATTGGTATAATTTCTTTTACTTATGGAATAGATATGCATTGCCTTGCCAATGAAGGATCAAATCATGGTAGTTAGATTAGTGTGCAAGACATTTGTCTTTTGAATTTTGATAGTGCCAAGATGACGTCATGTTACATTATCATACCTCACCTCCACCTCTAAATGTAACTCCAAGAAAAGTTGCCCAAAATTAACATTTCTTGCATTTTATTCTTTCATATAGTTAATTTATTTTCAGCCAATAATATTGTGTGGTTTGAATATTTGAATGGAGAAAATTGTTCAACATAAATTTATTTCACATTCCTCTATTTTATATACTTGACTCTGCAGCTACTGACTCTCTGTTGATGATTGATCTTCTAAACTTTTTTTAGTCAAACAATCAACACGCGGATCTAAACTTTCGGGCTATAAATTATTCTGCGGAAGTTTATTTAAATGGGCACAAAGAAGTGCTACCCAAGGGGATGTTTCGAAGACATTCTATTGATGTAACTGATATTCTGCATTCGGATGGTAAAAATCTTCTGGCTGTCTTAGTTTACCCTCCTGATCATCCTGGAAGCATTCCTCCTGAAGGCGGCCAAGGTGGTGATCATGAGGTATAAGTCAATTTCACCAGAAGATGACACTTCCTCTTGTTGGTATTTTGCCAAAATGTTCATACCGAAAAACTCACTTCTTCACAATTAGTATGATGAGATAAGAAAATGGTTTCCAGTAATGAATACATGGTAGTTTTATATAAAAGTAGATATAATGTTACCATGACATGCTTCGTTACTGAACCAACACTACCTCCCCCATTCCCTTGCATCTTTACCAACCAAAAGGAAGAAACTAAGGACTTGCTTACTACAGTTTTGAAAATAGTAACTACAAATTCAAGCTGAAGCTCCGACATTCTATTTAGTGGGCTGCAACCTAATCTAATTGCTATCATTATTTTCAATTCTAGATTGGGAAAGATGTTGCCACACAATACGTCGAGGGTTGGGATTGGATTGCTCCCATAAGGTGATTTATTTATGTTTTTCAGTAACTATAATATGCGTAGCCCCATGTCTGCACTCATCATTATTATTAAAAGAGCTTAGCATTATAATGCATATTTTATCAAGATTTTCTCCTTTAATTCTTCCACTATTATTTTTCTCGAATGTTTTTGCTTCATATCATATCCATTATAATTTCCCTCTACCAAGAGTGTGCATTAGATGTCATTGTATGCATAAACTAGTTTTGTGAAGTTCCTGATAATGTATGTGCTTCCATGTTTGCAACAAAAAAGACACCATGAAAAAATCCTTAAGTTTCTGGTTACTCATCCTCACATTTACGGATTAGTAAAGGGAAAAGGGAAGATGTGATATTATAGTAATGAACTAAGCTTTACTGCAAAACAGCAAAAATCAGATGTTGCAAAATTCATTATCAAAGTGTGGTTGACTTTTAGAAAGATCTGTTCAAGCTTTATTAAAGGACCTCGCATTAATTCAAGATGAGCAAGCTCTATTTGAAGCCTTTCCATTTTCCTTTGGCTTAGAGTGTTATATTTTATGGGCCTATTTTGTCTCTGATATTTGGGTTTGAATAACTGAAACCTACTTATGAATATTATTTCTGGCTCTCAGCCTTGTCATTTACGACTAGATGTTAGAGTTTCAAAGAAGCGTGGAAAGTTTGAATCAGCTTTCACTGTCTTAGTTTAAAGAGTTTTGGTCTCCCTTGGTGTTTTGATCTAAGTACTCTGTACCACTGCCTTTTCTCAATGCTATTGGGTTTGGCTCTTAGTTGATCTTGTAAAATATGAAGTTTACTTCCATACTCCTATATTCTCTAACAAAGCTAACGTAAACAGTATGCACTAAAGTCTTCTACTCCAGTATGCATTAATCTCCTTGGGTTTTGACATTGATCTATAATTGATGGAAAGAAAATTGAGTTCTCTGTTTCATAAAGTTGGCTGACACCATTTATTAGTTCTATCAAACTGTAAGCTATAGCAATATAAAGCTTCTATGATTCATGAGAACATGTTTGAGATCCTATCAGTAACCCGTTGATTTGAAAGATTAATTTCTGGAACTGATGAACAAATGAATTTTCACATCAAACTATTTTTCTTTCTGTCTGTTAATTATGTGACTGAAGGCAAGATTTCAAACTATTCATTTTTGTTGTTGCAGGGATAGAAACACTGGCATCTGGGATGAGGTTTCCCTTTCTGTTACTGGGGTAAGTTATTATTTGATTTGAAATTGTTTCTCATGAATATGCACTCATTTTTTCTTCTTCTTCTTTTTAACTATCTTCCAACTTAAAGCCATGAAGTTACTGATCCATAATCTTCTTAGCTACATGTATCCTTTCTATTGATGATTGTTGTCTATATTTTCTGATTCTTTACTCAGATGCTATAGTACTTTTATGCAGCCAGTGAAGATAGTAGATCCTCACTTGGTTTCATCATTCTTTGACAATTACAAGAGGGTCTACCTTCATGCCACTGTCGTGTTGGTGAATAAAAGTAACAGGGTTGCCGAGTGTTCTCTGAATATCCAAGTAGGGACTGAACTCGAGGGGAATCTCTGTTCAGTAGAGCATCTTCAGACACAGCATGTGTCCATTCCTGCTGGAGCTCATGTACAGTATACGTTTCCAAAGGTGAGTTCTTCATTTCCTTGTGAAAGAGCGCTCGCAACGTTTCTTATGATTTCATTTTTTTCCCTATCTTACTCGTACATATAAAATTCTGTGAAATTCAAATATGTAAGAGAAAATCCCACTACGCCTGCTATATAATGAGGAGGACCAAGGCCTTCTACAACAATATGAACAAGTTAAGCCATATTCCAAAAATATTTGGAGTCGGCTACATGGATCTATTTTCAACGCATCCGGGGAAAAAGATTAATCTCTATCAATAGACCTGCTAAAGTCCCGAACCATGGCGAACTTAGTACTAGTGCCATGGAGAGAGATGTTTTTGGATATCGCATTGAAAACCCTTCTTCTTTTATTTATTGTAATACATAAAGGTTGGTCATTTGGTTATATCTAGATTTAACTCTTTTGAAAGGTCAAAGGAAATAAATCTTTTTTAACTACCTCAGGCTATGTTATTTTGGTATACCTCTCTCTTTTAACTTGAGTCTAGTAGGATCAATCACTCCAGGAAAATTCAGGTCCTTAAGTTCTATGCTAGCCCTCAGGCACATAAGATGCCATTAACACTTACTTAGTGCTACCTCTACTTAATAGAGCGTAGCATCATTTCTTAGCTTATAATTTCTATTTAAACTTGGAAAGCCCGGTCACAGAGGATTGCCATATCACTTCTTTATTTTGTCTAATCAGATCTAATCTTATGCATCACATTAAATGCATCTTCTTTGAGTCCTTGTTCCTTGAGAACAATTGGATCTAAGTACTTAAAGCAAGCTCTCTTTAGGACAATGCATCATTTTCATTTTACAATGTTCTTATTCCACCCATGACTATAACAACAGTCCATCTTAGTTTTACTTAAACCTGAAACATTTAGATTATGAAGTGCTTCTCCAATTTTAAGTTATGGTTTATATCCTTCTTTCAATCTACTAAGAACATATTATCAATGAATTGTTACCAACGAATTTTATCTTGGACGTATCCGGTCAAGTCATTCATAGATAGATAAAAAAGGGAAATAGAAACAAGTTATTATAAATTTTTAGGTTCTTGGCTATGAATTTTATTATTCACAGTGGTAGGAATTCCATCAATGGTCACTGAATGTTTCTGCAGATATTCTTCTATAAACCCAACCTATGGTGGCCCAACGGCATGGGGAAGCAATCCCTTTACAATGTCGAAATAACAGTTGCTGCGAATGATTTTGGAGAGTCTGATTTGTGGAACCATCATTTTGGATTTCGTAAGATTGAGAGTCATATAGATAGTGCCACTGGCGGAAGGTATGATTGTTTCTTTAGTAAGTTTCAAGTGGCAATTAGTGCATAACAGTGCCAAAGCAACTTTCACGTTTCCACGTTGCAGGTTATTTAAGGTCAATGGCCAGCCGATATTTATCCGTGGGGGTAATTGGATATTGTCAGATGGATTACTACGGCTTTCTAAGAAACGTTATGAAGCAGATATCAAATTTCATGCTGACATGAACTTCAACATGATGCGCTGTTGGGGTGGTGGACTAGCTGAAAGGCCAGAGTTTTATCATTTTTGCGACATTTATGGTCTTTTGGTCAGCTCTCTCTCTCTCTCTCTCTCTCACACACACACACACACACAGAGGCACACACACACACACACACTTACACTCACTCTGTGTGTGGTTGCATGCCCACACGTGTCTGCATGTGTGTGCGTATAGTGTGTTGCTTAACTGATTCCCATATAGGTGGGATAATGCTTTATTTAGTTGAATAGGCTTCACAGATTATGGATTGTGAGACTTGCCTCTTCCTAAAATATAATGATTTGATTGTTAATTGCTATTCATGTAGTTTTGAGTTTCACAGCCTCTCACTGCTTTCTCTGCTACCCAACCAGTCCATTTAATATTTTAATGTGGCTAGAAGATTCTCCTAAGGTGAAAAGTCGTATTCTCTGAAATGAATACCAAGCCTTGCATTTGAGGTTGTTCCAAAATAGTATGCACTTTCATGAATGGGACTTTTACTGTAAAATGCCATAATACTCAATCTAGGATCTACTATCTTTCTTTCTTCCGTTTTAAATGTTTTATGCCACTTTAATACTCCTCAAGTATCTCTGTTTTTATTTTTTTTTTCATGCTATGTCAAACCGGACGTATTTTGAAATGCAGTGGATGCTTTTACAGTTTTAATAACCAGGTTGCACTACCAAATAATTTTACAAATACCTTGATAGGTTTGGCAAGAGTTCTGGATAACTGGAGACATTGATGGACGAGGTGATCCTGTATCAAATCCAAATGGTCCTTTGGACCATGATCTTTTTATGTTTTGTGCAAGGGACACTGTCAAGCTGCTCAGGAATCATCCTAGTCTTGCTTTATGGGTTGGGGGTAATGAGCAAGTTCCACCAAAGGATATCAATTCAGCTTTGAAAACTGATCTACAACTTCATCCATATTTTGAAAGTTATATTCACCATGGCTCTTCAGAGGAAGAATTGTCCCCAGTTTTAAAGGATCCAAGTCAATATCTCGACGGTACACGAATTTATGTGCAGGGATCTATGTGGGATGGCTTTGCTAATGGAAAGGGGGATTTTACTGATGGTCCTTATGAAATTCAAAATCCTGAAGACTTTTTCAAGGATGATTATTACAAATATGGTTTCAACCCCGAGGTTGGTTCCGTAGGAATGCCTGTGGCTGCTACTATAAGGGCAACAATGCCTCCAGAGGGGTGGCAGATTCCTTTGTTCAATAAATTATCAAATGGTTATGTAAAGGAAGTCCCAAATCCTATATGGGACTATCATAAGTACATTCCATATTCTAAACCAGGCAAGGTTCACGATCAGATTTTATTATATGGCACTCCGGAAGATCTTGACGACTTCTGTCTTAAGGTATAATGTTTTTGTAATGCTTATTGAACAGTCTCCTATCCTTTTCTTTATGGTGTATCAACATATTAAACTATCTACTTCAGGCACAGTTAGTTAACTATACCCAATACAGAGCTCTTTTAGAAGGCTGGACCTCCCGTATGTGGAGCAAATATACAGGTGTTTTGATTTGGAAGACCCAAAACCCTTGGACAGGTCTAAGAGGCCAGTTCTATGATCATCTCCATGACCAAACTGCAGGGTTCTACGGCTGTCGTTCTGCTGCAGAACCAATCCATGTCCAGCTAAATCTGGCAACATATTTTATAGAGGTAAACATGCAAGTATTTTACAAATGTCGAGGATTATTCAAATCTCTGAATGTTCTCGCAACTGCTTGATCGTGCATTAATGTGAAACTTAAATGAAATTTTACAGCATCCTCTTTCTGCATGACACCTTTTGTCTGTAACAATTATAACCTGCAGTGCCTAAACCTTCCTTATATTTGTTGTTGTTTTTTTTTAATTTGAACACACATGTCAATTAACTATACATATTTGATCTGTAGAACATGCAATGCTTTAATCTTCTTATCTGATTTTTTTTACCCAACTTCTTATTTCAAGCTTTGCAGATAATACACCGTGAATAACTTATTTGAACTTGAAACTAATACACTTTCCATATTTTTCCTGGGTATAGGTAGTCAACACAACATCGGAGGAGCTTTCCGATGTGGCTGTAGAGGCTTCAGTTTGGAATCTAGAAGGAGAATGTCCCTATTACAAAGTTTTTGATAAGCTCAATGTGCCATCAAAAAGAACAGTGTCTATTTCTGAAATGAGTTATCCAAAGTCCAAAAGTCCCGAGCCTGTTTATTTTCTTCTTCTTAAACTCTATAAAATGTCAGATGAAGGGATACTATCTAGGAACTTTTATTGGTTACATCTTCCGGGTGGAGATTACAAGCTTCTCGAACCATACAGAAAGAAGAAAATCCCTCTCACAATGACTTCTCTGACTTTCATAAGAGGGTCCAGCTATGAAATCAGAATGCACATACAGAATACATCAAAGACACCAGATTCAAGAAGTCTACTCTCCAGCAACAATTTCATTCAAGAAAGTTGTAACAAAGATTTCGATATGTCATCGTTTGAAGCTTGTGTTCCTGAGAGAAAAAAGGAAAGCAGTTTATTTCACAAGATGTGGAAGAATTTTTCTAGGGAAGACAATGGTGTGAAAGTTACTGAAATTAAAGGAACCGAGACTGGTGTTGCTTTCTTTCTTCATTTATCCGTCCACTCTTCAACGAAGGATCACAAGGATGGTGAAGACACTCGAATTCTGCCAGTTCATTACTCTGACAACTATTTCTCTTTAGTACCTGGTGAAGTAATGTCGATAACCTTAAACTTTGAGGTTCCTCCTGGTATCACCCCACGCATCTCTCTTACTGGTTGGAACTACGGTGAGCATACTGTCTTTTAAGCTGAGGTTAAAGCACTTCAATTATGGTTGGAATAAAAGCACGTTGTCCTTTTGCTGGAAATGCTGTTTTAAGCCTTTTGTACCCGAGCTCTTCGATCATTAGAGCCAACAACCCCCACTGCTTGATAATAAATTCCCGGAAAATGATTTTACTTAAGGTAGACCTTGCTAAGCATAAACCGTGATTCTTCATGCCGACACTGACAGTATATATGCTTGTATGATGGACATGTAATGTAGATACCGTAAGTATGTGTGTTATCCATCGTGTTTCACAATATCCATCGAGTGAGGCGCAATATATCATTGTTCTTAAGATCGATTTTGTTCCTTGGAAGTGTGTAATCTAGTGCAATGGAGTGTTGATAGTCGGCCTCCAAAATTTAACGATGGGTAGATTGCGGTAGGGTGCACTTGCAACCTGTCTTTCTTAATCGTTCAAAGCTCAAATATGTTAATATATTGAAAAACGCTAGACGAAAGGAAATACGTGTTTTTGAGTTGTGGCTTTTTAGAGTAATGTTATTTAACACTATTGATGTTTAACATCAGTCTAGGTAGTAGCTTTAGTGACATTATATAAGTTCAATTAAATGAATCACATAATTTCACATTTAATTGAACTTATCATATAATGATAAATAGACTGATGCTAGATAGCATTATTCGACTTTGTATAGAACGTGAATTTGTATAGTGCTTTGAGTAGGGCGAGTGCATGAATTTAAGGAGGTGTTCTCCACTCGAATTTTAATGGATTTCGAGCCACTGAACATAAGAAGTTATTAGATAAATACACTAAAAATAAGGGCTTTTCCAAAAATCAAATATAAAATATGTTTTTAAATTAATGCCCTGTCTATAGAAAAATCAATTTAAGGGCTTTTCATATTAAAACTTTTCGTCTCCAATTTCAGTTTCAAACTTCAATTTTTATTTTAAACATTTTTGTTTCCCACGTCTTTTGTTGTTCTAGAATTTGTTTGTTTGTCTTAATTTTTTGGGTTTCAGTTTAAAATGTTGCTGAAGTTGGCAGTGTACCTGTGACGGGTGTCCTTGGTGTTGATGCTTGCTTTGTCGTGGCGGCTTGAATTCTTTCGACAATTTTGCATTTTTTTTTTCCATTCATTTTCATGTCATGATATTTGTTTTGTATTTGAAAGTGAATGATGTGATACTTTTTAATTTAAAAAAAATCGTAATATTGTGTTTTTTTCGTAGCTATTTAAAATCAATACACAGATTTTTTTAAAAAAATAATCAGGATCGTCATCTCAATAGAAGCACATACAACAGACTTTAAGACCCTGTTTGATTGCTCTTTCTTTTCCATGGAAGCTGGAAATTAAAATTAAATTTTATCTCTCTAATGGACAATTTTCATGAAAAACAAAGTCAAATGAACACAAATTTTATCACTTTAATGGACAATTTTCATGAAAAACAAAGTCAAATAAACACAAAAAGATCCAAAATTTTAATATTTTTAGGTAAAAAATTATATCAATCAAACACAATTAATTGATAATTCCCAATAAATCTAGTTCTAGACAATTCAATTTTCTAGAATTCATTTTTTTTACACCCAAATTTCACTCTTGCAATCAAACGGACTCTAAATGATGATATTTTGTTGTGTTAGACAAGAACTAAGGTTTTGCATTAGAAAATGACTTACTTTATTACTTTTTAATTAAAAGGTCACATGATGTGTAATTTGAGTGGAAAAATTCCAACTTTGCTTGAGGCTGCCGCGTCAATGTGATACTTTTTAATTTAAAAAAACATCGTAATATTGTGTTTTTTTCGTAGCTATTTAAAATCAATACACAGATTTTTTAAAAAACATAATCAGGATCGTCATCTCAATAGAAGCACATACAACAGACTTTAAGGCCTGTTTGATTGCTCTTTCTTTTCCATGAAAAATGGAAATTAAAATTAAATTTTATCTCTCTAATGGACAATTTTCATGAAAAACAAAGTCAAATGAACACAAAAAGATCCAAAATTTTAATTTTTTTAGGTAAAAAATTATATCAATCAAACACAATTAATTGATAATTCCCAATAAATCTAGTTCTAGACAATTCAATTTTCTGGAATTCATTTTCTTTACACCCAAATTTCATTCTTGCAATCAAACAGACTCTAAATGATGATATTTTGTTGTGTTAGACAAGAACTAAGGTTTTGCATTAGAAAATGACTTACTTTATTACTTTTTAATTAAAAGGTCACATGATGTGTAATTCGAGTGGAAAAATTCCAACTTTGCTTAAGGCTGTCGCGTCAAGGGTTCAAATCTTGAAATATGGATTTGGTCCTTGGGTAAGTGCAGTGTACAAGCAGTCTTCCGCCGTGTACCGTTGAAAGCATAACCTGCGATTTACCTCTTTCACCAAGATTTAGGGCAGGACACGTGGAGGCCGTTAAGGATGCGGTTCATCCTTTACAATGTAATTATAATAAACTTTTAAACTAGTAATTAGCTGGTGGTTTTATGTTTTTTGTGTTAAATGTGAATTGGATTTTGTATTAGAAAGTAATGTGATGTGTCACTTTTTAATTGAAAGGTTACATACTGTGTAATTTAGCATTTGAAGAAAAATGAATTCATTTGATTATCTCAGTCGTTGCGTTGAGTCTGATCGATTTTAAAACTCTTTTTCTCGACCCTAGCCTCTGACTATTGAGCCCCATTTTCCAATAAACACAATTTTTTCAAATTCTCACCATAGGCCATTGACTAAGCTTACAATGTTCTTATAGAAAATCTTGTAAACTTATATTTAGCTTTTACCTTTTCATTGTTGTGTTGAATGTTTATTAAAGTTTTATATTATAGCGTGACATGCCTTGTCAATTGTTAATCAAAAGTCAATTAGTACATTTATTAAAATGTCTAATACTATGTCACTTCTTCATTAAAAGTCAAATACTATATTCTTTAACTAATTAAAATTTGAGCATAATTTTCATTTTTTTTAAAAATCAAAATGGCCGTACTGGGTGTAATTTGTCCTATATATAAGTATCAATTTCTTTAGGAAATTCAGCTTGACCCAATTGGGACCAACGACTATAACCTCGCATTACTTGGAGGCAAAACAATGGGGAAGTTAGAAACGTAGTTCTAGGTATTATCCCGATTCATGGATTTCTCGGTTCAAGAAATCAAGTTAAGAAAATTGAACCGACTCTTTTTCAAATTCGATATTCCCATAGGCTGTCTTCCAATCTATCTCACAAACTTCCAGTTGAATAAATCAGTTGTATACAACGAATACCTTCGCTTGAAAGAATTTAATGATTTGACTATCATAACCAGCAATTGCAACAAGCAATCCAAGAATTGAATAAAAAGCATCAGCACCATGTATCAATTGTCTATGTCGATTACTACAATGCTTTTCTTCCCTTCTACGTAACAAATCACTGCTGGGTTAGTTAATTTTGTGCAGTCGAGCATACCAAATATGTTATTATTATAATTTATTAATACTGATAATAATTTTTGTAAAAATTTATGTTGCAGCATTTGATCCAAAGAATGCAGAAAAATCTTCTCGTGGTATTGGAGGGAAGTATAACTTTAACCTGAAGAAAATGTGTGGAGCTGTTGGGGTTCCTGTGTGTACTTGGCCCGAAAGGTATATTAGTTGGGACGAAGTTCATCTTACTCGAGAGGCATACAAAGATATTACAGAATGGCTCATCCGGGACATTATGTAGGACTCATAGCTTTTCCGCACTTAAAAGCACTATCAAACATACTATTAAAGTGACAAATTTCACTTCACATTTTTTGATGTGTATGCTGATAGATTTACAGCGAAGATTCAAAATTGGAGTTAGTTTTAGATGGAAAAATATGAAGACAGTAGTAGAAATTTCAATCCAGAGAAGCAGAAAACATTTACTTTGAAATGACTTTCATGAACCGGTTTAACGAGGAGAAGATGCCTGCGGCTTGATCAAACAAAGACGTTCCTTTCTCTTCCTGGTTTCCGATTCCTCCAAATATTATCTGACGATAACCAAATGCAAAATGTAAGCAGCAATAAATTTTCTTGGTTCCCCCCCTCCCAAAAGAAACGAAAAAGAAAGTGGAAAAGCACTTTTTCATCCGTTTCACTGATTGCTCAAATCAGTTTAACCAGGTACCTCCTTTTTCCATTTTGTGGAAGGGTCAGGGTTGATTATATACATGGCGGGTTTGCCACGGGGGTTGGTGGTGCATAGGAGATTACTGACCTCAAGTTCTTCTGAATCAGGACGGCTTATCTGTTCCTTGGCAAGAAGGTATCTGTTAGGCCTCTCCTTATCATCGTAAAACACTTTCCATAATCTGATAGAAGAGCCAGAAAATGAGTGACATTCTGATACAAAAACTCTTTTACTATGATTATAGCTTAAGCACAATGTAAGCAATAGGCTTACAAGTTGAAAGTTCGGGTTGAATGGTTTTATATAAATATTTCCAAGTATTACACAGAAAAGTACAAATCCCTAGGATAAAATGAGAAAGATTAAACTGCACAGATGTTCGACCGATCTATTGAAATTTTTATTATTTGTTGAGCTGGATGGCTTGCTTTAAACTGAATCAAAATACCATAAGGTAAGAAATTGAGTAAAATAATCAAGTGTAAGCACTTCACCCGGGATAGCATCTAAACACAGCACCAGAAGGAAGGGGCCTCATTGAATATACGACCGTGAAAGTGCTGTGAAAAATCATAGATGAGCACAATAAGATAGATGTTTTATTCCACAAGAACGAAATGATATTCTAAATACTACTTGGTTCATGTTCTAAATTACTGAAACTTACCTTAAAAAGTTCCTGCGTAATCGGCGAACATTAATTCCGACTCCAACATCCTCACTAACAAGACGTGGGTTCCACATGATAAGAGGCCTAGGCTAACAATATGGGTTAATATTAATGCAAAGAAGGGTTGTAACTGAATGCTTTTTTACAGACAAAAAATTCTGTATGCTTCTCTGAACAAAATGGAATGCTAACGTAAATTATAGTAACTCTTGCATGTAACCAAATGTGGTCTTACTTGCACGGTTAATGACGGAAAACATCACATGAACTCCATTATGCCGTCATTCCCGGGTTAACCAATGAGAACATCAGGAGAAGAAAGAAGATAGATCAATGGGGAGAGAGAGAGAGAGAGAGAGAGAGAGAGAGTCTTGTCAAAAGACTTGTAAGCTTGCGAATGGAGATTAAAAGAAAAAAAAAGAAAACTCTGTGGGGTCCTATTTTTCTTGCTACTTGCTAGAATTTTTTTTTTTTTAAAAAAAACTTTGATTCTGATTGGTGATTGCCTATGATGATTTTCCAATTGATTAGAATCCACTGAAAATTAATATAGTTACGATGCATCAAGTTTTACTTCAGCTAGGATCTGACATATTTTCTTTTGACAAGGAAAAAGTTTTAAAATGATGTCAGCACAAATTAAAGAAAGCACAATACATATCAAAGAAAGCTTTCTGAGATGCATTGATTAAGGATATCTAAAAACCAAGATTTTTTGCAAATTAACTACTGACCAGCCGGCAATTGAAGAAAAATAAAAAATAAAATAATTGTGAGGTTTCACTTGTAGTTCTCCATAAGTGGGCATCTATCCATGAAATACCTTGTGCTTTAATATCATCAAGTTATAGTTTTGTTGAGAATCTGAAAGGCAGCATATATAATTGCCAGTAATGCGGCTTCTTGAACCTTTCTATGAACCAGATAATTCAGAAAGTAAAATAATTTAGCAAATATTTAAAGGACTTGGATGGTTAATGTTCTCATTTCAGGAGAATGAAACATCTTTTCTCTTTCATAATTTAAAATGAAACCTAAGTTTTCGAAACCATCATCTTATGAGCTAATAAAAGATTGAAAGAGAGAAGGATGATTAACTTTGCGACTCTGTTGTTCCATGAGTTTATATATACGTGAAGGTTACATGGCGAAGAAATTTTTTTTCGTTTGAGATGAAGTGTGGAAAGTCAGCAAGTTGTAGAATCAAAAGGTTAAAGTATAGTTTATTTAGCATTAAGGGACTTTGGACTTTGGAGCCTAAAGGTAAACCCCACCCCCCACCGGCGTCCCCCCTCCTTTCCCCCAACTAAACTTGTGTTTATCATGCTGTGTGCTATGCATGGATTCATGTACTAATACAGAAGAAAAATGAACATGCATAGGTACCGGATCGTCTGAGAGATAAGATGCAATTTTTTGGACGTATTCCAGCATCTGATAATCAGGAACCACCATCACTACAATTTCATCTTCAGAGTCCACGGGCTTCCGGTCACCTAAACTGGATAAATAAAATGCTAAAGAAGAATTACATAACTGCAAGGTTCAAACTGTAAAGAAATAACTATAGAATTGCTCTATTAGATCTTTTTAGCTTCACAGATTCCTGTCACCTCTTCTTTTTATGAAAGACTACTTCACTATCATCACATGAATATTTAAGCTCATTTTAGGATCAATAAACTACTAAGCCACTCAGCTAATGAACCTATTTGTCTATAGAAAATTCAATGATAATAAATATTCCACATAAAAACGCAAGGAATTCTCAGTAGTCAAGAGTTATACAGCAATGTATACAAATATATAGGAGGTATAAACACCAAAGACCAAAAAAATAAACATAAAGTTAAGTTTTTTCAATCCTATTATGGTTACACTTCCATTGAGCAAATAGAGAAAAATTGTCAATTTGTATTTTTTTGATTCTTGCTGTTGACTATCTGCGAAAGGGTTTTATGATTAAAATGTTTACAGAGGTACATCATTGTCTTATTGAAATCGTAAAATAGAGGGGAGTGAGTGCTAATATAGGGCACCTCAGAACCTGATATCTATTTCAGAAAACCTTATGAAGAATTTCACATGCATGCAGTGGTTTACCTGGAGAAACCAAAGGTAGCATCTTTCCACTGATACTTTAGAAGGGCAGCAGCACCAGCATCCGGAAATACAGCTTTAACTCTCTATAACAAAAAGTTTTTCAGCTCAATGATAAAAGGAAAAACAATTAATTAACTTAAAACGTGCATACTCAGGTGGAGCTACATAACAAGACACTATCTTTGACTAGAAACAACTGATCGTGCAACTAGATATAGCACACATCTCTACATGGGATAATGATTTCAGAGAGGTAATGTATCTAATGAAATAATATGCAGGAAAATGATAGAAAGTCAGTGCATGGTTATTTAAATCACCATGTTAATCATCTTTCAAATCTTATTGTTTTCAGAAGCATTTTTTCCTCTCTTAATGTAATTATGACAGTGCTCATGTTTTTTTGACATTCTTATGATATTTTATAAGTAAACTTCAATGCCAGTATTATAAAAGCAAACATTCCCAGCTAACCTGGCCTCCCGTTTCTTCAATAAGTGTATCTAAGAATATCTTTGACACCCCCCACAGTTCAGCTTGAGCTCCTTCATCGTCAAGAAACTGCAGCTGTGGGATTAACAATTCAACCTGTAGGAAAAAGAGGAAGCAATTTACCAATTGATTAAGATTTTGCAAATTTAAAAGTAACAGTTCAGTGAATTTGAATGATTAGGTTTCTGTTTTTAAAGAATTAAATCATATGATTTACTCCAAGTCAGGATCAACGTAATAGTAAAATTGACAAGGAAGCAAAACAAAAATTCGAGTAAAGCTAATGAAGTGAACCCAAAACGCCACAATCTCTATATGTATCTGCTACACACACACACACACACAAACACACACACACACATATATATATATATATTTTTTTTTGAGTACTGAGTAACATTGTCTCAAAAAAAAGTTTGTATGATGACAGTGCGTCACTAAACTCACCAACATGTTATTATGTGAGGAAAAGAAAAAATAAATGTGCAAAACAAAAAGTGCATTATTCTTAACAGGGAATTTTGCAACAATATGGGCAAGTCCTTGATACTTACTATGGCTCTCATTCCTCCAGAGGAAACAAAATCCGCAGTTGCTAGGCCCGACTGTTGAACCGCACCCTCCAAATTTGACGGCAAGCAACTGAAACATAAATTAATCAAACATTTTACTTCATTCCATTTGGTTACAGCTAGGGATATTATCAGTTTAAAAGAGGCTTATGACGAAATTATAACTTACATTATAGAAAGTGTTAATCTCTGGAAAAACTAGTTAAATTTAAGTAAGAGCCACATCAGAAGCCTGTTGAGTGTCGAATCTCCTTTTTGCAAAATATATGAATCATTTATAAATGCTCAAACTTCATTTTCAACCATACATTTCAATGAACCCATGAGTAGTATCCACTTATCCATCTCTCATTTCTATATATTTATAAATTCTTCCAAACGAAAACAGTGATGAAATTAGATAATGGTCTTAACATTTGGCAATTGCTCAATCAGGACCTTATAAATCATGTCAATAGAAAACCGAATTCCTATTGGCCGATATGGTTTGGGCAAGGCATAGGACTTAAACGAGTACTAGTAAGGAGTTGAAAGAAAGAAATAACTGTTTATAATATAAATTATTATCACTGAGATAACATTGTTTAAAAAAGAATTCCAAAATAACTTCTGGTAAAGTTTAGATCAGCCAATTTCTGATAGTAACTTATATTTCCCCAAATAAAATTGTGTTCTCTTAGCACTCAATTCAAAATCTCAATTCAGTAGGAAGTTCATAAAACTTTCCAAATACATCTACATTTCGCATTCTCTCCTCAAAACTTCAGAAATACAGTAGAGGTGGCTATTCAAATTGCAATATTATACAAGATTGACTTAACTTTGAAATTAACATAAACACAATGTATGTAAGGCTCACCAAACAAAACACTAGTATGAAAATACTTTCTTTTCAAGCTGTAAACGAAAATGCAAACTTCCACTATACTTCTTTGAAATCGCAAGTTATGTATGCGCATTTTAGTCAAACGCAGCTAACCAAAATAATCTTGAACAATTCAACTTCCACGAATCCACTAAAGGATGAACAGTACTATCATCTAATTATACTTCTATTTTTCAAGTAAATGATTTTGGTTAATTGAGTAAATGATTTAATTGAAAAAAAAAAACCTGTCATCTTCTTCTTCTCTTTCTTCATCTTCTTGAATTGGCTCTGGGTCTAAAGAAGACAACTCTGTGAACTCTTCCGGATTTTCTTGGCCTTGGAATTTCTCAAACTTGGCATGCGTTCTCGAGCTCGAAATGGCTTTGTGATGGGAAATTCCACTGTACCCACAAGTGTTCGAGGGATAAACGGATGAAGAAAAATTGCGTGTGGAGGATCGTTTGGGAATTGAAGGCACGTAACAGGAGAGGTTTGTATACGTAGAGGCCATGAAATTCAGTGCTTCCACTACCATAGATTTTCAATGCGTGGTGATAAGCTGAATTATGAATGGGGTGAATTATCCTCTAGGTCCCCAACTTTCTATTTGTAAACTCTTGTCCCCAACTTCATAACACTGGGCATGCTATATTGCTATTGATATTATCTCGTCGAAAATGTCTATTCGGACGTTAAATGGCAAACCTATACACGTGATGTCCGACTAAAAAGGTAAAATTGTCCAAAAATTTCCTTGTAATTTGGCCTCCCCACAAGACTAGATTCTTAACTTCACCTTTGATTTGATCTTGACCCACATAAAATCAAATTGTTCAAAATTTACGGTTTCACATTTTTATCTACCGTAATTTTCTTAAATATATGCTTCTTTATAGTTAATGGGGACACATTAATGAAAGTAAAGAAATCTCTGCATTCAACTAAAAATGTGGAGGTATTGGTGGACAATGAAGTCTCTAAAAGTTAATTATTTCTTCTGGATTACTTGAAGAGTGTGACTTTTATTAGTTATGCAATGTTATAATAACACTATATATAAACAAAGTATACATTTTAAAGCACTTGAGCAGTGCCACTTGGGTTGTCATGCCATAAAAATGGGACATACTTAAATCTTGCAATTATGGCTCTAGGCAGCACTATTTCTAAAGAAATCAATAAAAATCTCTTAAAATATATATCAATAAGACAAGGATCTTTACTAACCGAAGTCGATAGAAGATTGATACCGTCAAAAACTTGCTTCCTCGGCAAGGACATTTACTAGTTGAAGTCCATTGAAGAGGATTGATACGATCAAAAATTTCTTCCTCAGGTCGTACCCCTCTCTTCCCGCACTCAAACTTGCATGAAAAAGGCGTAACATATTTTCTCATACTCTAAGTGATAACTAATATGTTGTGTTCGAGTTGAGAATATAAAACCATACTTATATTTGATTAAAAGCATAATTTTCAGAGTTTCTCGAATATTATTATTTTATATCATACAAGTAGGAATTCATATTTTAATATCATGTAAATAAAAATGAGGAATTGATGTGCAAATACAAAGGAATGCACAAATACTACATCTGAAGAACCAAGTAACTCATTGAGCGACTTCCGTGAATAAGCCCAGTAGTAGCTAAGCTTCAGATTTTGGCTTGCGCACTGTTAAAACTTGTGGGACCAATTTGAAGAATCTGAAAAATTCAGGGACACTTTTTCAAATATGGGGACAGGTTTACAGAATAATGAGAATTCAGGGGCTGATTCACAAACTTTTGATAAGGGCTTGACAAGAAGCTTACATTAAGTTTTGTTTAAGCCCCGTTCTCTGGCAAATAATGCATTTTTGAACGGTGATTGTAAAGAATACGTGGCTAAAAAATAAGAAATTTTTTTTGAGTTTTGCGTAATATTATTTTATTGAAAAATGTGTGATTGAAAAGAAGAGAGGGAAAAATGTATCTTTAAAATAACGAGAATCAAACAAGAGCTAAACATGGAATAATCAACCACGTGTTTAGTGGGACCAAACTCGCGAAATCCACATCTCCGGACGACGTAAGTTTTTATTTTTATGAGTTAAGACCTATCTCCTTCAAGTACTATTTTTCTTTACTTGCTAATAAAACGAGCCACCAACTGTGCTCGATTTATCCAAAAAAAAAAAAAAAAAAAAAAAAAAAGAGATAAAAAAAAAATAACAAAAAAAAAAAANAATATGTGTGGTTCTAGATCCTTATCTGATAGGAACTGTCAATGTATCTGTTCAAATTGTAAGTGGATTTCAAATGGTTGAGTTAGTGGTTTTTTGGCCTCCATCATTTCACGTAATAATGAGATGAATAGTAATTTTTTTAAAAAATGTGTGATTAAAAAAAAAAGTAAAGGTTTTTCGACTTACGTGTAAAATTATTTTATTGAAAAATGCGTAATTGATAGAAAGAGAAAGATAAATGAATTATAATTTAATAGGAAATAATGGGGCCAAACGGTTGTTAAGTAGTTTGACAAATAAAATTTCTTTTATTAATTTTTAGAGGATTATTTAGATTTTAATAAGTGGGCCGTAAATCTGAGAAGTCATTAGCCCGACCCGTTACCCAAAATACAACGGTCCCGGCAAAGGAAATGTTTTCTATAGCCGTTAGAGGAAGCGCCTATATCGGACGGCTCAGATTGTCCCAGTTTCAAACTCAATAGAAACACCTTCTTGTTGAACCTTTTCAGAAAAAATCTCTTAAAATATATATCAATTAGGCAAGGATCTCGTCAAAAAATTGATTCCTCGGTAAGGACATTTACTAGTTGAAGTCCATTGAAGAGGATTGATACGATCAAAAATTTCTTCCTCGGGTCGTACCCCTTTCTCCCCACACTCAAACTTGCATTAAGAAGGTGTGACATATTTTCTCATACTTTAAGTGATAAATAATATATTGTGTTCGGGTTGAGAATATAAAACCATACTTATATTTGATTAAAAGCATAATTTTCAGAATCGCTCGAATATTATTATTATTTTTATATCATACAAGGAGGAATTCATATTTCAATATCATGTAAATAAAAATGGGGAATTGATGTGCAAATACAAAGGAATGCACAAATACTACATTTGAAGAACCAAGTGACTTATTGTGCGACTTCCGTGAATAAGCCCAGTAGTAGCTAAGCTTCAGATTTTGGCTTGCGCACTGTTAAAACTCATGGGACCAATTTGAAGAATCTGAAAAATTCAGGGACACTTTTTCAAATATGGGGACAGGTTTACAGAATAATGAGAATTCAGGGGCTGATTCACAAATTTTTGATAAGGGCTTGACAAGAAACTTACATTAAGCTTTGTTTGAGACCCGTTATTTGGCAAATAATACATTTTTGAACAGTGCTTGTGAAGAATACGTGGCTAAAAAATAAGAATTTTTTTTGAGTTTTCGTTTAATATTATTTTGTTGGAAAATGTGTGATTAAAAATGAGAGAAAAATGTATTTTTAAAATAATTAGGATCAAACAAGAGCTAAACATGGAATAATCAACCACAGGTTTAGTGGACCAAACTTCCGAAATTCACATCTCTGAACGAAGTAAGGTTTTTTTTTTTTTTTCCGAAGGCAAGACCTATCTCCTTCGAGTGCTATTTTTCTATACTTACTAATAAAACGAGCCATCTAATGTTCTCGGTTTATCAAAAAAACAAAAAAAACCTTCAAAGTGATTTTTTTATCACCAATCTTTAGTATGTGTGGTTCTAGATCCTTATCTGATAGGAACTATCAATGTATCTGTTCAAATTGTAAGTGAATTTCAAATGGTTGAGTTAGTTAAACGGTTTTTTGGCCTCCATCATTTCGCGTTATAATGAGATGAATAGTAATTTTTTTAAAAAATATGTGATTAAAAAAAAACGAAAAGTTTTTGGACTTACGTATAAAATTATTTTATTGGAGAATGTGTGATTGATAAAAAGAGAAAGATAAATAAATTATAATTTAATATGAAATAATGAAAGCCAAACAGTGGTTAAGTAGTTTGACAAATAAAATTTCTTTTATTAACTTTTAGAGGATTATTTAGATTTTAAATTGAGGAAATTACACACACCCCTACTTTTAGATTACCATTTTCAAAAATCCTGAATCAAGTTTCATATAACAAAATTCAGGTTTTAATTAATAATATAAAAATATTTTTTATTTTTATTTTTATATCTATTTACAATAAATTAATTTATATTCTCCCCCCACCCCATCTAACTCCAAACCCTAAAATCAATTAACCAATTACCTTTCCATCTCATCCTCCACCCTCTATCTCTCTCACTAAACGCAGTCGCCGCCGACGCCTCATCTCTTCTCCGTCTCTCAATGCCGCCGCCGCCACGACGTGGACTCTTCTTCCACTCATCTCCCTCTCTTGTTTTCACACTCTCTCGTCTTCTTCCACTCGTCAGCCGCATCTCCGTCTTCTCCCCACTTTCTTGTCTTCTCTTTCTCTCCACTTCGGCAGCCGCTACTTACTCCAGTGATTGTAAGTTCATGCGGTTGGCGAGTGCTACGGAGTGGGTGTCATAGGCGATTAGGAGGTCAGGATTGTTGACGAGCCCAGCCTTCCTTGCCTGCACCGAGTTCGGTCAGGAGCAAACAGTCAACGGGTCTCAGGCAGGGAAGTTGGGTGCAATTGGGGTGTGGAGGTGCAGATCTGTTGGGTGCGACGTTCGTGGTTGTGGATCTGTATTTCGCCATTCCTTGCAAAGCTCCTGTTCGAATCCGTTCTGGCGGTGCAGATCCAGTGGCGGTGGGTGCTGTTGGCGGTGGGTTTGCTGTGAGGTTGTGGTGTTAGCTGTTGGTTCCGGTATTTGCGATGGTTGGGTGTGTGTGTTTGTGCGGCGGTGGTGATCGTACGGTTTGGGTGTGTTTCTGGTTGTTTGCGGTTCTGTGTGATGATTGTGGTGTTTCTGTGCGATTGTTGCAATGTTGCTGTGTGATGGTTGGATGTGTGCGAGTGTGGCGGGTGTGGTCGTGCTAAACGAGATGGTGGTACCTCTGGTGGAGGCAGTGGCAAAGTGGTTGTCACAAATGATTTGGGGATGGTCACAAATGATTTGATTTTTTGAGACCAATAATTTGGTTGGTTTGTAACCAATAAATAATATGTAACTTATGAATTAGTTAAACTGTGACCAGTACTAGCCGTGTGATCTAGAAATTATTAATTTGTGATCAATAAATTGATAAATTGTGATCTAAATAAGTATTGTGACTTATAAATTTAGTGATTTGTGATCGATGAACAAATTTTGACTTTTAAATTTTTAAGTTGTGACCAATAAACAAATTGTGACTTATGAAAATTTTGAATTGTGACCTAAAAATTTTCGTCGGAGTCGAAANAGAATAGTCCCCGGAGCGGTAGCGGTGGTGGAGGTGGGGTGTGTAATTATATTGTATTAGAATTAAATATTTAATAATGTATTGATTTAATAATTCATTAATTCATAAATAAAAAATTTAAAAATCTGATTTG